ACGTGATCAGGTGTGTTCAGGGTGGTATGGCAAAAAAATTGTGTAGAGAAAAAAAATTTTGTTCATTAAGATAACTATTATTACAATTATGTCCCTAGCTACACTATGGTTTTCTACCTTGATTCATGTGGTGTGTAGTGTGTAGACTATATTTTAAAAATTTCTCTCCTATAAAAATTACAATCAACATTTGGTTTAAAGCGTTGTTTTACAAATGTTTGCTTTTAAAATTGCTCAGTGTTTAAGGAGTTCATTCTGGATGATGTTGCTAACCTTTTTCTAGCTGAGTAATCTTTTTTTTCCATACTAACTCATATGAGTAAATTTGTGCACAAATGTGGAAACATCACCCATCTGTAATGAACAGGCCGAGAGCAGTAGCCATCACTAGAGCAGAGCACTTTTATGGAGATTACTCTATTTTCAGGGTTGCTGACCTTTTGGCTCTTTATTAGTTGCCATAGTGATGATCTGAGCTCTGCTTAATAGAGCTTTACTAAAATGAGGACAATCAATACGCTTTTTAAGGCTAATGTTTATATTGGCAGTTCCTAATAACATATCAAAATAAAATTTAGCCATGTAAATGTATCCAATAGTGGGATTTTATCTTTAAAAATAAGTTTAGATAGATGTTTTAAAAATAAAATGAATCCAGATGTTTAAGTACATTTTGTGTCTATCTTAGAGGATCTAGGCTAATACCTTTGTGATGATGTAGAAATATGGAAAGGGTTTGAATGATCATTTGTAATGGACAGTAAAATTCTTTTATAACAGCAAAGTTTAGCAGTTTCAAGAACCATGCTTAATGATTTTCAAGGGAAAGACATCAGTGGACTCTATTGGTACCTGTTGAAGAACATTCAAGGCCAAGATCTCCTCCTATACACCCGTACAACTTCTAATAATTCCAGAGAATCTTGAAACTTTACAGAAGGAAAGTTGGTGATTGGTCAGACACAAGACAGAGCAAAAGACCTTGGGTTTTGTTTTCGAAGTTTATTTAGCAGTGTTAAATATTTTGCTTACTGATAGTAGGTAGATTAAAACATTTTAGGATCACGGTGAGACTTCTCCTTTTGTATTTTTTTTGACATATTGTAAGTTAAAAAAAAAAAAGCTCTATGGCTTTGTCAATGACAAGAAGGAAGCCTGAGCATGGAGTAATTCACTATCTGTTGTTAGAGTCATGTTCTCAAACGCTTTTCCTGGACTTCAGAGAGTTGGTGGAGAAATTTCCACAAGATTCAGAGGAAGAGGGAGGCAGCTCACAACTGTACTTTTATTTCTCCAGAGCCCATTTTCTTCTCCTTCATGTTTGAGAATCTAAGTTTCCTCATTTCTATTCTCAATCCTATCAATTCCTTCTTAAGATTTATTTAAAAAAACACACAGCACTCCTGATGGTAGGACATGGAGATAAAATTAAATTGATGTTGAAGGTTTCTTCAGTAACTGGAAAGAAAACAATCAATGTACCAGTTTCAAGTGTCAAAATAACTCCAAGAAACAGGAAATAACTGTCATCAGAGGTTTTTCATGTATTACTTTTTTTTTTCTAAATAAAAACTAGTTCTTAAGTGGAAGATGAGACTTAAGTAAAACATTGCATCATATACAATGTTTTAAAATTTTTACTACAATTTTATTCCTGTTCTTACTTGATTTCAAAATCTCATTTATTTTTCTAAGCTAAAAAGTCTCATCCTTTACTTGCTAGGAACAAAACTAGTGATTCTGCCTTTGGGGATTATTTCCTGATCATCTATTATGGAATAGAGCTTATGCTCTTTGGTGGAAATCAGATAATAAATAAATGAGTGTATGATGTACTCAGTGATGTGATGACCCAGGAATTAAGATGCAGTAGGACAGGGTGTCTACAGAGTGAAGAGAAATAAGAAGAAAGTGCTGTTTCTGGTGGGGTTGACAGCTAAGACCATCGCCTCCTACCTGATTGGTCTCTGTTGTTATTCGTGCTTTTCTTTTGTCCATGTAAACTCCAACACTAAGAATAAATGTTAATCATATCTGTCATTGCTCAAAACCCAGTGATTTTTGCCCAAAATAAAATTCATAGCGCTTCTCTTTGCTTGCAAGCCTCCACATGGTGTTTCCCTTTCTTGGCTCCTTGACCTATTCCCTGGTGTCTTTGGTTCCTGTGCACTTTGGGCACAGGAGGATCCTGTTCCTGCCCCAAAGCCCTTAGGCCCTCTACCCTGGCTTGCTCTGCTGGGAGCTTGTCCCTGCCTAGGGACCTGAAGTGGTTGCTACTTTTTCTAGTACATGTTTGTAATGCATACTAATTACATTCATGCTGGGGAATTTGTACATATTCATACTTCATCATTTTACTCTCTTTTCCTCCCTTCTCCCTCTTTCCCAGATCTCCTTTCCATCCCCACACAGTCTACCTTCCTGTTTCATACTATCTCTCTTTTAGTTTGCTCTTTAAATTATATTTTGAATCTCTCATATGATATTAGAAACCATGTGATATTCAACTTGTGTCTGATTTATCAAGATCCACCCATTTTCCTACATAAATGACTCAAACCCATTTTTCTTTATGGCTGAGTAGTACTCAGTTTATATATATTTATGCCAAATTTCTTTATTCATTCACCTGTTGTTGACGGGCCTCTGGACCACTTCCATAATTTAGCTATTATATTATGCTGCTATAAACATGGACATATATATGTGTATTAATTTAATATGACTTTACCTCTTTCAGGAAGATATTCAGAAGAGGTACAGCTGGACCAAATAGAATTTCTGTTTTCAACTTTCTGAGGAACCTACATAAAGACTTTCACAGTGGTTGCACTAGTTTACATTCTCACGAACAATGTAGAAGGATTCCTTTTCCCCCACAACCTTGTCAATAATTGTTTTTGATAATAGCCACCTGGAGTAAGATGGAATTTCAGTGTTGTTTTCAATTGCATTTCTCTAATGGTCAACGTTGCTGAAATTTTTTCTTGTACTTGTTGGCACATTGTACTTCTTTTGAGAAGTGTCTGTTTACATCAATTTTCCATTTTTGGATGAGAGGTTTAATATTCTAATTCTTTCTTTCTCTTTTTTTGAGACAAGGTCTCACTTTGTAGTTCCGGCCAGGCTTGGACTCACTGCATACTTCAAGCTGGCCTCAAACTCATGGTGATCCTCCTGCCTTAGCCTCCCAACTGCTGGGATCACAGGTGTAAATCACCATGCCTGGCTTTAATTTCTTTATATATTCTAAATGTTAGTCCTCTGAAGAGTAGCTAGAAATTTTTTTCTCATTTCTGTAGGTTATCTCTTTACTCAGTTGTTCACTTTGCTGTGCAGAAGCTTTTTAATGTGCTATAGTTCCTTTTGTTAATTGTGTTATTTCTTGTGTGATTCGGGTTCTGTTTAGAAAGTCCTTGCCAGCCGGGCATGGTAGCACATGCCTGTAATCCCAGCACTTGGGAGGCTGAGGCAGGAGGGCTGCTGTGAGTTCAAGACCAGCCTGGGCTGCATAGTGAGTTCCAAGTCAGTCTCAACTACATAGTGAGACCCTGTCTCAAAAAATCAAAAAACAAAACAAAACAGAACAGAAGTCCTTGCCTATGTCTTCAAGAGTTTTATCACCTAAAGCTCTAATTAATTCTTATTCTCCTTTTCATATATACAAATTCCTTCTATCTACCAGATAAGGGGGGGGCAACCACACAAGCAAAAATACAAAACGAGAACCCTCTCAAATTTATCCTTCTTTATGGCTGAGTAGGTCCTGTTTACGCTGCATTTACCATTTGATGAGTATGCTTTCCCTGCTATATTCACAAATGGAAAAACTTTGACCTGGAGCAGCATGGGGCTGAGTTCCAGTCCTCTGCAGGTGAGTCCAGGAGGTTGGCAGTGTCCGCTGCAACTGGTCCCTCTGCAGTAACTTGCTCTCCTGTCTGCCAGGGAGTGGAAGAGCTGGATGGGCACTGATCCTGTTCTGCTTCCTTCTGCAAGCTGCCTCTGCTTCCCATCCGTCCTGCTCCCCTGGGCGTGGCTAACTGAGGTTGCCCCTCTGTCCTGGGATGGGAAACGTTCAATTACGTTGGAGGCCAGTTGGGCGCAGTGTGGCTGGTCAAATTTCCAGCCTTCCTCTGATTTCCAAAGGGCCTTTTCCATCTCAGCTCTTGTGCTTCCACCATAAACCCCGAAGCTGCGTTTTTCTACTCTTTTTGTACCTCTCTGGGTGAGTGCAACTCAGCTCTGCAGCTTGGCTGGCAGTGGGATGGCTCCCATGTGCTGATCTGAGTGGTGGGCGATGGGCGGGATGTCCTGCAGGCACAGACCTGGGAGAGGTGAGAGGGACAACCTTGACCTCACTAGTGTGTTTTCTTTTCCCCTGAATCACCGCGACAGCAATGCGGTGGTTGCTGCTTTGTTTCTGTGCCTCCACAGAGCCTTCTGTGACAGGTAAACCTCAAGCGGCTTCCGAGCACCACTCGCCCTTCGTCTTTGTTGCCCTTACAGTCCTCACCTTTGTGTTACGTGTCTGTAACACGCTTCGCCGTGTGTGAGAACATATGTCCTCGAAACCGGGATTCGGGCTCTTCTCACCGTTGCGTCTCCAGCATTGGGATAGGGCTCCACATTGCAAGAGCCCAATAAGTATTCGTGGCGTGAATGAATGAGTGAATGAATGAATGTGGTGCTCTGAGGATGGGCTGCAGTGAGAAGATAAGTAAAAGTGTTCAATACTTTGAGGCTTACACAAGTATTTTATATGCTTGTGCTTTTTCATGATCCGAATTCTGTCTCACATCGTTACCAACATAAACATTCCTCGCTCTAGACTTCTCAACTTTCTCCACCTTCGTGTATTGCATCTCAGCATCTTTGCTGACGAATTAAGGCGTACTATGTAGCTAGATACTCTAGTTGTGAAATCCTGGTGATTGCCTTTCTGGTTTCTAAAATAATTACGATGGCTTGGATCATGGTTGTCCTTCTCTTTTTGACTGCAGCCTCACCCGATCTTCCCACACTTGGATCCCTAGAGCTGACCATTGTCATCACCGTGCCTGTCTGCCTCCTGTCTGTAGCTGCCATGCTCACAGTGTGGGCCTGCCAAGGCCGACAGTGCACCTACCGCAGGCCAAAGAGGCACAATGTGGAGGAACCGCTCTCTGAATGCAACCTGGTAAATGCTGGAAAAACCCTTAAAGATCTGATTTATGACGTAACTGCCTCTGGCTCTGGCTCTGGTATGTGCTCATTGTCCATTTTGCAGTAAGAAAACTCATTTAGATAAGTCACACATGTAAATACCAAATAGTTTCTCTGGTGTGAAAAACTGAAAGTGTCAATAAGATCCAAATTGTATAACTGACGATGTGAAATAGGAAGAAAAGGGCTAAAGGTGTAAGGGAAGTGGGAAGGATGGGGGAAAGGAAATAAGGGAAAAGAAAAAACATGACAAGAAAAAAATGGAAGGGAGGGCAGAGGTAAGGGGAAAAAATGAGAATCAAGACCTGTCATGTAGAGGTACAAGATCCCAACAATGAATGTGACTGTACTGTATCCCTAAAATGTACCGATAAATTCAATTAAAGCTGAAAAAGAAAAAGTCCTTGGAAGTAGGGAAGGGAGGAGGGCTGAAGGGAGGGCAGGGGTAAGGGGAAAAAGTGATAACCAAGATCTGTCATGTAAAGGCACAAGGTCCCAATGATAAATATAACTCTACTGTATACTGAAAAAGAACCAATAAACTCAGTGAAAAAACCCCAAAAATGTTTATTAGAAAAACAAAAATGTTTATTAGTGCCTATATATTACACATTTTATCATTTAAAATGTGTGGTAAGCTCTGATAAATCAATTTCATTTAGGATTAAATGGAGAGATAAACTATGTGATCTACAAGTCTTTTTATTTGGCTTTTATAGCTTTATATGTTCAGGTCCTCAGCATTATATTAACACAAAATTTATTTTTGAAGCAAGAAGTCCCGCATAGTTAGTAATGATCACAGTTTTTCTTGGTATTATTTTATGGACACAAAAGAGAGTTAATGTATTGAAGACAGTGAGTTCCAGGTGAAAAGACACTAGTTGGTGGAGCAGTGCTCTGGAGTGCCCTCCCCTATGGTTATAGAGGTCATCGGAATCAATAGGTACTCTTGGCTATGTGTGTATTGTGATAGGGAGCTGGCCTGGAATTGACAGTAAGACCTGAAAACACAGTAAGGAGGCTGGAGAGAGAAGCCGGGCACTTCTGCACTGGTTTTTGCTGCTTGAGGTCATGTCCCTTTCTCTTTGGTGGACTGTAGAACCCCTGGTAAAGCAATTCAGAGGGCCAGGCTGTATTATGGCCTTAAATGAGCCGCTCTTGTAGTACCAAGAATTTGAGAGTGACAGATGAAATTGGCCCTATGATAACAAACTGTCTAAAACGATAAGTCATTCCCTACTGTCATTATTTCCAGAAATCCCACCAGCCCTTGGTTTTGCAGAAATATGCTCAATGGTAAAAGTCCGGAAGAGCCATTACAAAAATCCCCTGCGTCCTTTCTTGGTTTGGAAAGATCATTGGTAATATCAACCCAACAAACCTTGAGGAACTCTCTAGCCAGTGCCTTTAGGAATTTCCAGCCAGTCAGAGAATGGAGGCAGGTGACAGAGGGGTGATCACATCTCTTTGAACACCTGCATTTAAGACAAAGCAGTTTGGATTCATCAGAAGAAAGTATGCTAATCAGGCAGTCCATAGGATCAGAATACTTTTCTGCTTCTGGGGGCAAGATTGCCTTCCTTTGCCTGACCATCGTATAAGACCTCATCAGGTCGTATGCTTTCAAAAGTGGAAAACTAGAAAGACAATCTTGAAACCGCAAAGTTCATAAAACTGGAATCCCAATTGAACTACTGAATAGAAGGTTAGCACTCTATTTTAAAAAGTAATACTTATTAGGATTAAATACTCTTTCCTTCTTTCATTATTATATTTTGAACTTCACTGTGCCCTAGTTTTTTGAGCACTGACAACATAGTCACAGAGAGAACTCTGATTTATATTTAATTTCTTGAAGACTTTTATAATTAATTTTTAAGTGTCAAATGATTAAATAACCATTGATTTAATCTCCACTAAAACATTCTAGTTTATCTGAAGGAGTTTGATAGGAACATGCATTGTGGAGCTACTCTTTAAACATATTTAGGAAATTATTTCTCTTTTAAATAAAAACAATACAGAGTTAAAGCTAGATATTGGATGTGTACTTAGTAAGCAGGTAGTCATGAGGTAGGGCATAAATTTAAAAATTAACATTAAAGTTTTTTTACTATTTTGTGTATCTTTAAATCTGAATTTGAATTTATTAAGGTCTAGACTCTTTTAGATTATTCTAAAAATCTTAAATAGAAATAAACATATTCAAGCAAATTATTTTTTAAAGAGGCTGATTTAAATATATTTTCAGAGAATATATTAAATATATTTTAAGAGAAACCATGCAGTATTTAAGTCTGTGTGTTTGACCTAAAAATAGAAAAATAAAAGATAGATATAGGAAGTAGGGATATCTTTTTCAAATGGGATGGGGAACAAAAAATAGAGTAGGGAAGGTAGGAAAAGGGGAGGGGAAGAAAAAAATTGAAGGGAAAAAACAGAAATAGAGCTTTTGCAAAGGGAAAGGGAATGGAGAGTTGGAAGGAGAGGGGAGGTAAGACGGGCAGAGGACAAGAAAAATTGAAATGTATTGTGCACATATATAATTCCCCACAATAAATCTAATTGTTATGTACTGTGAACATGTGCTAATAAAAAATAAAGTGACTGTGTTTTAGACATTCTTTTTTCCTTTTTTGAGAGAGCTAATGGTATGTGCCTGACAGTGACCAGTGGCTAAAATATAGCTGAAGGTGTCTCTGCTTTGATTCTGAGAGAATGGGTTTATCTCAGTGAAAAGCCACAGGTGGAGAGGAGATCGGATGCTTTTGCTTCTTTTCTTAATTGGTTAGTGACCTGAGACGTGAGGCTGCCTTTTGAGATGTTGAGAAACAAAAATTGTGAAACTTATCCCTGACCTGGTCAGGCACGCATTTCAAAGAGATATGGTGGCTGCAGAGAAGAAAGCAGGTTGGATGTTTTATTGGTGTATCTTTGGGTGTAGACATCTATGAGATTCGGTAGCTTGCTTCTTTCTGTCATGATAAACACTTCTGATGGATGGGGACAAGTGATAGGCATCAACTCCTGTGATGTCTTGGTCAAAAGATTAGAATGAAATCTGTGTATCTTCAAAGGAGATCTCTAGATTTATAACACAGGAACTGCTTAGATTCATCTTTGGTGGTTTCACTGAAAGTTATAAAGCAACTTTTTTACCATCTGAATTTAAATGCTTTCCTGAGTTCTTTGGTTTTGTTGTCTTTCTATGTCTCTGATCTGTACCATTGACCCAATGACCATGTGTTTGAGCAATTGCAGTTGGAAAAACCTGATTTATCTATTTCTCTATCCATTTGTCATTGTGTTGTTGTTGGTGGTGGTGATGTATGTTTCAGTATCTATGAGTGGGTATGAGTGGCAGGAAATTTGATCTAATAATTGTTGCTTTCACTTTTAATAGGTGGTCAAATAGTAAAATTGACCATATCCTTCAAAAATAGTCGGTAACATTTGATGGCAGAGGGCTTTCTAAAGGGGAGGACTACTGTCACATCCATTGAGGGGTGAGAAAGCAGAGTTTGGGCAGATGTGCTTGGGTCTGGGCTGGTCTCCCAGCAGCATAGTCCTGGAAAAGACTTTGATATCTGCTGAGCCCCAGTTTTCTCATCTTTAAATAAGGTTGAACCAGATGATTTCTATTTTTCTATCTTACACAAATTTTGTTTTGCTTTAGAAATGAACTACCTGTAGTAATTACAAAATTTAAAGAAATATATACAAGTATAGATGTCAGAAGTTCCAAGTTCAACTAATTTCCTCTCATTGGTTGGAGAAAAGACTCAGTCCTTTCAAAAATAAAGAAAGAGTCTTAATATTCCCATAGGTAGCGTTTGTGATTTTTGCCTAAGTAAGGAGCTCTGAGAGTCCATGACATGGTACCTTATGGTTTGCCAAGGAGTCAATTTGAACAACACATTCTCAGGTAAACCAGATGATTTCAAAAGAACCTTCTGATTTAGGGCTTTGTGATTGATTAATCACTGAGACTCCAAACATCAAATTTCTAGTCTATGCCTATTTAGTGATAGTGGGTGGTTTTCATGAAAGATGAGAACATCTAAATAAACTGGCTCATTTTTGGAGCAGGGGCCAAGGCCCCCAGGAGCTGTGGAGCTGTCACTATTCCTGTCATGTGAGTACAATGACAATTACTATACTGACTTTTTAGAATGCATTTATATCATAGCCTCTTTGTTTATAAGTTAATAATACCCATTGTGGAAATTAAGCAAATATAGAATATTATAAAGAAGAATATCACAATTCACTAGGATTCCACCAAATAGAAAAAACTGCCATAGCATTTAGTATATTTCCTATTCAGTCTCCCTGTGTGCATTCTGAAAAGCTAGATATACTTATTTGTACTTATTTGTATGGATACAATTTTTATGAGGTCTTTTTTCATTTAATACTATAGCAAAAGTAACTTCCCATATCTTTAAGAATACCTCCTTATAAAAAGTATAACTATTGTTGGGTCTAAGTAATCCATGGTAAGATTAATATAATATTAGAGGGCTAAGCAGTATTGAACATGTAATATCAGAGGATGTGCTAGGTGCTTAACATGCTTATTATTTCTCATATTATCCTCATGAGATAGGAAATTTCAATATCCTCTCTTTTTCAGAGAAGGAATTTAAAGTTCAAGAGGTTAAATAACTTGCCTATGGTTATCAGATGACATAGCTAAAATATACACCTAGTTCTTTTTAAATTTTTGCTTGTAATATTCCACAAATTTTCATCACTTGACAATTTTACTTGTTTCCTATGAATGATAAAATGTATTCTGCATTTTGACATCTTCTCTACATTTTGAATTAAATCTTTAGCATATAATTATAGAGGTAGACTTATTTATTCAAAGAATATAATTATTATACATACACTTGGAATACATTTAATTGATTTTTTATTTCATAGAAAATATGTGTTTAGGGTAACATCATTATCTGACTCAATCATTGAGTTTTTTCTGTACTTTTAAATTTTAATTTGGCTTTAAAAAGCTCAGAATTCTTTTTTCCTTCCCAGTTGTACCAGGAACCATACATTTTATGTTAGATGTTGACATGATATTTTTTCCTTTGGTACTTATTAATATAGCTACCTATGGTGGACAATTCAGGGAAATTTACAACCATTCTTTCAAATCTGATAAATACAGTAGCAGAGTATCTTCAGAAAATTTTTGTAAATAGAATAGAAATTTATATTCACAATTTAAAGCATTTTTCTTAGACTGGCTTGACATTGAATTTTGCTACAGTGATGCTTATTTCTTCAAAATTGATAAATTGTTAAGGTGTTTAAATGTTTTTTCTTTTCGTGTGTGAGGAATGCCCATCGCAACAGTTCTTTTCTGAAATTGACTTTTAATCCCACATTTTCTCTGGTTAGGTCTGCCTCTGCTGGTTCAAAGAACAATTGCAAGGACAATTGTACTTCAAGAAATTGTAGGAAAAGGTAGATTTGGTGAGGTGTGGCATGGAAGATGGTGTGGGGAAGACGTGGCTGTGAAAATATTCTCCTCTAGAGATGAAAGATCTTGGTTTCGGGAGGCAGAAATTTATCAGACAGTTATGCTTCGTCATGAAAACATCCTTGGTTTTATTGCTGCTGACAACAAAGGTATTTACCTCTAATTGGGTTTAAAAAGAAAAGCATTACATATCTTATCAAATGAGAATAAATAATCTGTTTTAACAAAAACTACATAAAATCTAATATCTTTATTGAGGACAGAAAATCTTTCTTCTTCTTCTTTTTTAAATCCTTCTTTCTCACCAATAAATATACAGAGCCATAAAACAAAGCAGGACACATGAGAGACTTGGTTTACAATACCCAGATTGATGTTTAAAATATTTGATAGCTGCTATGGGTAGGACCCAGCCAACTAATGCAGAAGCCCCAACTGGAACCCAGTCCTAGAAAACGCTGCCTTGCTAAATTCTTTTACTTAGTTGCTGCTGGGTTTTGGGATGATCTAGAGACATATTAGAAGGCAAGAGTACTCTGCTGTCCCAGGGCAAAGGAATGTTATTAGAAGCTCTGAGTAGCAGCTACACAACAACCAGTATTTTAATAACATATATAGTCATAGTATTGAATGCTTGTTGAATAGTCACCTTTGTTAGGATTGGATTTTTCATCTGTGTAACGGGCTTTGTCCTCAGGATTCAAGTTTTCAGTGCATGTTATCTGTAGATTATAGTAGAATCATGGTAAGCAAAACAATTTTAGTAATGCTTTCCATCAGTGTTACTTTGAATGTGATATTTTTTTTTCATTCACAGTTAGTAGAATCATGGTAAGCAAAACAATTTTAGTAATGCTTTCCATCAGTGTTACTTTGAATGTGATATTTTTTTTTCTCATTCAGTTTATTGGTACATTTTAGGTATACAGTACAGTTACATTCATCATTGGGATCTTGCACCATTACATGACAGGTCTGGGCTCTCATTTTTTCCACTTGTCCCTGCTCTCCCTTCACCCCTCCTAGCCTCCCCATTTATAAACACTTTATTTCCATTTTTTCATTTACTTTGAATGTGACTTATGTCATGAGGTTTAACATTACTGAGTGAAAAACCAGTGTCTTTTTTTTTTTAAATTTATTGGAACAAAACAAGCCTCAGATTTCTAGTGCTTAAAAATTAGTACTCCTAAAATATTGCATGTATGTTTGAGCAATCAAGGACTGGATATAAAGTCTGTGGATTTCCTATGAATTCTCTCCCATTTCCTTTCAAAGTTTTTATTCATTTAAGTGAAAGCAATGAGAAACAAGAGTGAGAAAAACTTGATCCAGTCATTTTAAAAATTATAACTCTAATCAATAGTACTCGTGAAGAACTTTGATGGAATCACAGCTATAACCCCATCTAAAAGCAAGGGATAAAACAAAACACTTGGGGATATCAGACATCTACCTTTGCCTGTGAAAATTAAAAACCTATGGTTATTTAGATCTATCTAAATATGAAAGTATTCATTATTGATTCTTCAGCTAAAGAGAAGTTTAGTATTGCAAATTATGGCCATAATTATGCCTGCTGACAATTTCTCATTCCTGATTTGCTGGGATAAGACTGATTAAAGCCCACATGAGATAAAAATATAATTTCCAAATTTCTAACTATTTACACTTCAAAATTATTCCCAAGTTTCTGAAAATGAGACTTTCCCATTCACCTATGAAGAGCTTTATTTCTCCCCTTCTAATCTTGAGCCAAAACCTACACACTGGTTAGCTTAATTAGCAACACAGTCAATTTGGTGAATGTAGTTATATGGTTCATGTTTCTGGGATAATTCAAAAATGATGTTTATTGCATTATAAAACAATATACATAAAAGAGATCATCCTTGGTTTTCTCTTCTGTCTCTGTCTTATCATTTCTTGTCATTATTTTGTGCATAATACCAAGTGGCCTCTAATCTCACTTTCATCTCCATGAATTCCTGTATCTTTTGCAACATTTACAGTTTCACATTTTAGTCAGTTGTCTGACAAAAGCATTAATGGTAGAGGGTAAAGATAGCCACTGGTGTCAACAGGAAGAGAGTGTGAATGAGGGTAGTTGTGTATATGACTAATTAAGAAAGTGAATTTTATCATGTGGTACCAACCTGTATTCCTAGGAAATTTTATCACTATTACCTAGGAAATTAAATATTTGGCTAATAAGCAGCTTCTGTACATAAAGCATCAGGCAGCAGAGTCTTATCAAGTGTTCATTATAGATTTATTTCTTGGAGTACCAGAACTAGTCAGTATTGTCCAGGTTATTGTAAGCACCTTTTGTAGACTAATACCAAAAGAAACATTGGGCCACATTCTATTCTGTGAATTATTTTAAATGTTCTGGATTCACTTTTGGATAAATGAAGTAAATTATTCAAAATGCCTCGCAATTGTATTTGGCTCTATATATAAGTTTCTGGGGGAAATCATTAACTTCATATTTTGAAAGTTAAATACTATTCTTAGAATGTTAGAACTTTGATGATAATAATAATACTTTTCTAAATTTGTTATATTTCTGATAGTTGTATGTATGATCTTTTTTAAAAGCTTGGAGCAATTTGTAATACAGCACACAGCCTGAATGTGTTTCTCAGTAGTTTCTTATATAATATGTTATTATTGCCAGCAGGCATCGATTAGAGGGAATATGAAATGCATTTTCTAATTGTTAGAATCACTGCTTTACAACTTCTTATTTCTACGGTTGGTTCTAAAATATCAACTTCTTCGGTAATTTACTGAAAAAATTTTCACTTTACTTAGTCTGTAAGCTCCCTTACTGAAGGAAATAACTTTGCTTTGTTAACCACACAGATTAAATATTGACATTATTAGAAGCTTTTGGCTTCTTTTTCAATATATATTTTCAATAATAAGCTATGTTTTCCTGTTAGACAATGGAACTTGGACTCAGCTTTGGCTCGTATCTGAGTACCATGAACAAGGCTCCTTATATGACTTTCTGAACAGAAATGTGGTCACAGCAGCTGGAATGATCAGATTAGCACTTTCAATAGCTAGTGGTCTGGCGCACCTGCACATGGAGATTGTTGGTACACAAGGTATGTACTTCGTTTTCCTTGATGAATACAAGGATAGCAATCACTCAGTTATATTTCAGTTCTTTACAGTGATCAAATATAAAGAAGCAATAAAGGTACTTTAGAAAGCTGAAGGTTTTATCATGATATAGCCAATAGTCACATGGTATTTACTTAGCATTTTGTATATTATTCATAATATGTTTCTTCCTAGTTGTTACACCTTTGACACTTAGCCTATATACTTAGTTCTATAACTAAAAACTATAACTAAATCCTATAACTGAAAGATAATTGGGAAAGGGCTAGGGATTTAGCTCAGTGGTTCTACTGCCTGCCTCACAAGCACAAGGACCTGGGTTTGATCCCCAGCACCCCCCCCAAATTGGGAAGGATAATGTGACCATAAAAAAACATTTACACATTATGCATTTGAAGCCCTATAATACCCATTAGTTTTTAAATTTACTTATTTAATAGAGAATTGACTCTATAAAATCATTATACAAGGTAGTGGGCCCCAAATTATAATTCATGATCCCTTTATATGCTCAAAAATGAGAATTGTCAAAGATTTTTAAAATCATAGATTATGTTAATATTTATCATATTAAAATTAAGAATTTAGAATATATTTGCTTAAAGTATTAGAAATCTAAAAGTTAACATAGATAACAGCTTTTGAAAGTGTCATTTTTTCCTAATACAAAAATCTATCTAGTGAAAACAACTTTTATTTTACATATTTTCAAATCTCATTAACTTTGGCTTAAACTCTCAATTTCCATATCCATTTTTTAATCAATCTGTTCCAGCATGTTTTAGGTGAACTGAAGAAAAGGGGCCATCACATAGATAAATCATTAGAAAACAGCCTCTAGGTTCCCCTGATCTAGGCTAGTAGAAATTTGAAACTTGTTTTGTAAGAAAATATTTGCCATGTTCTATGAGTACATAGTCATCGTGATTCATCCCCAGTTTGTTCAGAAGATATTTATTAGTGCTATAAATGTCACTTGGTGTTCTAAACATTGGAGGCATGGTGATGAACAAGACAAAATCACTGCCCTCATTCAGCTAACAGTTTGTCTGAGACAGATGGTTAAGCATACACACGAATAAGCCAGATAATATAGATAGTAATATGAGCTCTGAAAACACCAAAACGGGGTGCTTTGTTAGAGAATGACGGGGTCCAGAGTGGGTGGTCAATGTAAAATTTCAGTTAAATTTTCAGTGATTACTATTACAGAGATTCAGTCTTGGTGAAGAAAAAGATGGATGCACTTTTTATTAATGCTTTGTAGGTAAACCTGCTATTGCCCATCGAGACATAAAGTCAAAGAATATCTTAGTGAAAAAATGTGAAACTTGTGCCATAGCAGACTTAGGATTGGCTGTGAAGCATGATTCCATTCTGAACACTATAGACATACCTCAGAATCCTAAGGTGGGAACCAAGAGGTAAGATGACTTACTTTAGTAGCATGTTAAGACCTGTGATTGACCCAGAAACACAAAAATTTGTGATGTAGGCATAGAAAGCTCTGGACCAAATGAGAAATTTTAGCCCTAAGAAAAAAAGAAGTCTTTTATGAGTTCTTGAGAAATCCGTGGACACGATGACTGTAAAATAGGAGAGTTGGCATTCTTGGTCAAATAGAAACAATTTGGCTGCAGAATCCCATGGAGAGGAATGGTAGAAGAGATAGTGACATATTATTTTTAATGGTCACCAGAGAATGTATTTTCTGATGGATAAAAACCTATTATTGATTTGTGTATGCTGAACCATCCTTGCATCACTGGGATGTAGCATATTTGATCATGATGCATGATATTTTTAATGATGTTGTATTCTGTTTGCGAGTATCTCATTGAGGATTTTTGCATCTCTATTCACTAAAAACATTGGTCTGTAGTTTTGTTTCATGATTGGATCTTCTCTGGTTTTGGAGTCAAGATAATGCTAACATCCAGGAATGATTATGAGAGTACTCCTTCCATATTGATTTCATTAAATAGTTTGAGGAGTATTGTCATTAGATCTCCTCTGAAGTTCTCGGAGAATTTGGTAGTAAATCCATCAGAACCTGAGATTTTCCCATTTGGTAGATTTTTTTTTTTTTTTTACTACTGCTTAATTTCATTGCCTGTTACAGGATTATTCAGGGTTTTAAATATCTTCTTGGTTCAGTTTTGGTTAATTCATGTTTCTAGGAGTCTATATATTCTGAATTTTCTCATTTATTATCACCATATCAAATTAAAAAGTGCTTGTGCAGCAAAGGCAATGACCAACAGAGTCAAGAGACAACCTACAGAATGGAAAAAAATACCAACTGTTCCTCAAACAGAGGACTAATATCTAGAATATAAAGAACTGAAAAAAATTAGATCCCTCAAAATAAAAGGCCCAATCAAAAATGAGTAAGTGAAATGAATAGACACTTCTCAAAAGAAGTACAAATAGCCAATAAATACATGAAGACATGTTCAAGATCACTGAACATTAGAGAAATGCAAATTAAAACAGCACTGGGGAGAAAACACACTGTGACTGTACCTTAGTTCAAAAAGAATTGCTATCATAAAAAATTCAAATAATAACAAATGCTAGTGAGGCTGTGGCAGAAAACAAAGCACTCTGACGTTGTGGGTGGGAGTTTAAACTAGTACATCTATGGAAATCATTATGTAAATTCCTAAAAAACTAAAACTAGATATTACATTTGATGCAGCTATTCCCAAAAGAGTTAAAGGCATCGTATTACAGTGATGCATACATACCCATGTTTAGAGTAGCACAAATCATGATCGCTAAATCTTGGAAGTGGCCTATATACCCATCAATAGGTGAATGGGTAAGGAAAATGCAGTACTAACAAACCATTCAGTACTGCTCTGCATAAAGAAGGATAAACTTGAGGCATTTGTAGGTAAATGGATACACCCTACGACCATAACATCAAGTGGAATGAGTCAAACACCCTAGTTTAAATATCACATGGTTTCCTTTTTAAAAAAAATTGGTACATTTTAGGTATTCAATGCAGTTACATTGATCATTGGAGTTTTGTACCTTTACATGATATATCTTGGTTCTTATTTTTTCCCTATTCCCCTGGCGTCCCTTCACCCACTCCACCCTTCCCTATTTACAAAGACTTTGTTTCCATTTTTTCCTTTATTTTTTCCTTTTCCTTCTTACTTTTACCCTAACCCTCCCACTTCCCCTACACTGTTAGACCTTTTCTTCCATTACACTATCAATTATGCATTTTTAAATTGAGTTTATTGGTAAAAATCTAGGTATACAATGCAGTTACATTCATTTTTGGGATCTTGTACCTTTACATGACAGGTCTTGGTTCTCATTTTTTCCCCTTGTCCCTGCCCTCCCTTCACCCCCTCCTCCCCTCCCCATTTACAGATGCTTTATTCCCATTTTTTCATTTTCTCATATTTTTTCTTTTCCTGGTCCCTTTTCCCCTACCTTTCACACTTTCCCTACACCTTTAGCCCTTTTCTTCCTATTTCACACTATTAATTATCCAATTAGGATCTTGTGTACTATTATAGTTTTTCACACCAGAGAGATTATTCAGTATTTACACATGTGTGACTTATTTATTTCACTTAAGAGTATATCCTCAATATGTATCCATTTTCCTATGAATGACTCTAATTTCTCATTCTTTATGGCTGAGTAATATTCCATTTTATAGAAAAACCACATCTTCTTTATCCAGTTTCCAACAGATGGGAAAATGGGCTGTTTCCAAGTTTTAGCTATTACAAACTGTGCCACTATAAACACTGGTGTACATATATCACTGTGGTATGTTTCTTTTAATTCTTTTGGAAAGATACCCAGCAGAGGGATGGCTGGGTCAAATGGAACCTCTAGTCCCAGTTCTTTGAGGTATTCTCCATATTGGAATCAATAGTGGTTGCACCAGTCTGCACTCTCACCAACAATGGAGAAGGGTTCCTTTCTCCCCACAACCCCACCAACATTTATTATTATGTGATTTCTTGATAGCAGCCATTCTTTGTGGGGTGAGGTGGAATCTCAGTGTTGTTTTCATCTGCATCTCTAGAATGACTAGTGATGTGGAACATTTTTTCATATATTTACTTGCTGCTTTTACTTCTTTGTCTGAGAAATGTCTGTTCATTTCAGATGCCCATTTTTGAATTGGGTCTTTATATTTGGGGGAGGGCTGATTGTTTTGAGTTTTTTATATCTAGATAATAATCCTTTGTCTGAGGAGCAGCTGGTAAAATTTTTTTTCCCACATTGTAGGTTGTCTCTTAGCTCTGTTGATGATTTCTTTTGCAGTGCAGAAGCTATTTAATAAAATGAGATCCCAGTTGTTGATTCTTTCTGCTAGTTCCCACATTACTGAGGATTTGTTCATAAAGTCTTTTCCTATGCCAATGTCTTCCAGAGTTCTGCTTAATTTATCATCCAGCAAGTTCAGTGTTTCTGCTTTAATATTTAGATCTTAAATCCACTTGGATTTTAATTTAGTGCATGGTGAAAGATAAGGGTCTAGTTTTAATCTTCGGCAGGTAAAGATCAAGTTTTTCCAGCACCATTTATTAAAGAGGCTATCTTTTCTCAAGTGGGGATGGTCAGCTCCTTTGTCAAAGATGAGATAGCTGAGTGCATCTGGAGTTGTTTTTGTGTCTTCCAGTCTGTTCCACTGATCCTCAGGTCTGTTTCTTTGCCAGTACCATGCTGTTTTTATCACAGTGGCTTTGTAGTATAGTTTCAGATTGGGAATTGTTATACCCACTGCCATTTGTCCGTTGTCTAGGATAGTTTTTGCTCTTCTAGGTCTCTTCTGGTTCCAAGTGAATTTTTGGATTATTTTTTCTACTTCTGTAAAGTATAGTGTTGGAATTTCAGTTGGCATTGCATTGAATCTCTATAGCAGTTTTGGTAGTATGGCCATTTTCATTATGTTGATTCTTCCTACCCAGGAGCGGGGATATCTTTCCATTTTCTTATATCCTCTTTGATGTCTTGTTTCAGAGTGCTGTAGTTTTCAGAATAGAGCTCTTTTGCTTCTTTTGTTAGATTGATTCCCAGATACTTCATTTTTTTGGATGCTATTGTGGAAGGAATTGTTTCCCTAATTTCTCTCATTGAGTCTATTATTTGTGTACAAGAAGGCTATTGATTTTTGGGTGTTGACCTTGTATCCTGCTACTATGCTAAAAGTGTCAATTAAGTTAAGAAGTTTTTTGGTGGAGTTCTTTCGGTCTTCAATGTAGAGTATCATATCATCAGCAAATAATGACAGTTTAACTTCTTCCTTTCCTATCTTTATTGATTTAATTTCTTTTTCTTATCTAATTGCTATGGCTAATATTTCTAGAACTATATAGAAGAGGAGTGGTGATAGTGGGCATCCTTGTCTTGTTCCTGATTTTAACATGAAAGTTTTTAGTTTTTGGTCATTTCATATGATGTTGGCTGTTGGTTTTTCATAGATAGCTTTTATTAGGTTGAGATATAGACCATCTATTCCAATTTTTTGCAGGGTTTTTATCATGAATGGGTGTAGAATTCTGACAAATGCTTTTTCTACATCTATCAAGAGGATCATATGGTTTTTGTCCTTGACTTTGTTAATATAATGTATTACATTTATTGTTTGACGTAGGTTGAACCATCCTTGCATCCCTGAAATAAATCCACTTGGTCAGGATGTATGATATCCTTAATGATCTGTATTCTGTTTGCTAGTATCTTATTAAGGATTTTTGCATCTATATTCATTAAGGATGTTGGTCTATAGTTCTCTTTTTTAGTTGCATCTTTCCCTGGTTTGGGAATCAAAGTGATACTTGCTTCCAGGAATGAGTTTGGAAGTATTGCTTCCCTTTCAATTTCATTGAAAAGTCTGAAGAGTAATGGCAGTAGTTCTTCTCTAAATGTCTTGTAAAATTCAGCTGTGAATCCATCCAGGACCTGGGCTTTTCTTTGTTGGTAAGTTTTTAATTATATTTTCAATTTAACTGATTGTAATTGGGGTGTTTAAAATGTTTTTATCTTCTTCATTCAACTTTGGTAATTTATAAGTATCTAGAAATCTGTCCATTTCTTCTGTGTTTTCCATTTTATTAGAGTACAGGTTCTCAAAGTAGGTATTAATGATCCTCTGGATTTCTGTGGGATCTGTTGTGACTTCACCTTTTTCATTCCTGATTACACGGATCTGAGCCTTTTCTTTTCTTTTTTTGATAAGATTTGCTAAGGGTTTATCTATCTTGCTTATTCTTTCAAAAAACCAACTCTTTGATTTATTTATTTTTTGTATCATTTTCTTAGTTTCCATTGCATTGATTTCTGCTCTAATCTTTATAATTTCCTCCCTTGTTCGAGCTTTGGGTTTTTCTTGCCCTTGTTTTTCTAGGCATCTAAGATTCATTGTTAGGTTGTTTATTTG